TCTCCAGGGGCGCAGCAGATGCAGGATTTACTGCCAGGTTTATCAAAATCCAAAGTACGGCCCGTGCTGTCTCCTCTTGTTAAGATGCTACTTTTTATATTGCATCTGAAGGTTCTGAGCTTGGCTGTATAGTCCAGGCCCCCATAAATATGAATTATATGTAATTCCGAATATGCCAGCCTGTCTCAGCTCTGTACCCTCCGCCAGAGGGGCTCACACCTGCACACACGCTCCGAGCCTTCCCTCTCCGCAGACTGTTGCGCTGCGTTCCAGCCACGCCTGACCACCCGTTTCCGTGGTCAGAACACGTTTCGCCTTTTCCACCTGCCCGTGGCCTGGGTGTAACGGAGTCCCACCTGCACACTCCGCTATGCGGAGGCATAACTTTCGTTTTCTCAAAACTCATTTTCCATTTGGATTCCTCCTTCTACTGGCATTGAGGGGAGTTAGTCGGAGTCCAGCAGGAATGACTGCATAATTTGCAGGTGCCAGTGCACAACGGAAAATGAGAGCCCCTTGTTCAAATATTAAAAATTGCAAGATGACCGCACTGGAGCCGGCCCCTTGTCTGTAGAGGCCTGTGGGCTGTGCAGCCCACACCCCCATGAGGCCGGCCTTAGAGTTTATTTCAGATTTCTTCCATCTCTGTGGTATGTCTAAATTCTGGGGGGCTCACACAGCACGGGGGAAGGCAGAAAGGATCTACTCCCTGGTGCCCGGCGTCCCTGGGGCAGCCTGTCTCCCTGCCTCTCCATCAGCGGGAGGCCGCCTCGCTCTCACCCATGAGCGCCGCCTCCTGCTGCTGCTGCAGGGCCCAGGGGTGAGCTCGGAGTCGGCCTCTGACCTGTGCACATCCCGGCTCTCCAACCCCCCAGTCTACCTAAGGCTATCACCCCCATTCCAAACTTGGCTTGGGGGGGAACAGGACACCCTGTCTCTCCACCTGCCGCCTCTCCCCAGCCTGGAGCATCCTGGCCACTGCCCTCAGGGCCCAAGGTCCCCTCTGCAGAAGCCAGGAAGGGGTCCCCTTCTCTGTCTCTGCTCTGCTTTTGGCACCCACTGAAGTGAAGAATCTGACCGTAAAGTTGTCCCAACGGAGGAGAAGTTTATGAAGTCAGGGTGGGGAGGGGAGCTGAGAGGGAGACACCGGGAAGGAGAAAATTGGTTGATATTTTGAATTATTTTTCCAGCCACCATATACCTCCAGGGCTGTCAAGAATACCTGTGTACGTGAGCCCCCCGGTGGGGAGCGAACTCACCACCTCCTTAGCTACCTTATTCCACTTTTAGAAACAGCTTTTGTTACCTTAAATATCCCCTTTAGTGTCTATAAAAATTAAAGTGCACACACAGGTGCACGCGCACACATGGAAACACACGCACGGAACTGTGATTTGACCAGGACGGTCACATCCTCAGCTCTTCTGGAGCCCCTACATCCCTGGGGGTCATAACTGTCCTTCCCGAAAGAGAGGAACCAGGTCGCACAGTCTCCTGGTGTTCCTTCCAACACTAACGTTCATAAATGGACGTTTTGCTTTATGTGGAGTTTTTTTAATAACAATTTATCCAATGCACAGCTAAGAAATTATGCTAAAATATCTGTTCAATTTTTTCAACATTCAGTCTCCTAAATTCTAGCTGGGTTGGCGGGTGGGAAAGGGAACTCAGGCAGCAAATGTCAGACCCACGTGGGAAGGAACTAACCAGGGAGCTGTGCTGGGCCGCCACCCCTCTGAAAATGGGCCTGGAAAGCCAGAGCCCCAGGCGCAGGCAAGCTCCGGACCCCAGCATTGCCCCCCTTAGGGCAACTTAATGGAGGCTGTGGGAATGCCTCCGGGGAAAGGGATTCCCTGCTTCCTAATCCGCACTTTGCTCTCGGCTCCAGGCACACTGCAGGCAGCCCTCATGGGGTGGACATGAAAATGCATTGCTCCCCACCGCCACGGACTCCGTGCTCCACGTGGAAATGTAAGTGGGGCAGGGGAGCGTTAAAGGTCTCTCTCAGGGTGGCAGAGGAAAGCTGGACTTCTGTCCTAATAATATACTGAACCAGATTTGGAAGAAATGTCCTGTTTCGCGAAGTTGCTGGAGACACACAGAGGTTCCTCCTAAAAAATAGGAATACAGAAATCTGCTACGGAGAAGGTGGTGGGTGTTTCACTCATTCATTGATTTGAAAATAGTCACTGGAACCATGACCATAACAAGAATCTGGCCACTTTCACATTTAAAGGGAGTTCTGACTTACTAGATTTTACTTATTTCATCTTAAAACTTCACAGAGCCGTGATTCGAGGAATAAGGCCTCGTCTAGTTTCCCCAGGACACCGTGGTGTCTGCCTGCTGCCCGGGGGTGATTATTAGAAGCATCTCTGACACTCTCGAGTAGAATTCTAGTTTGAACAATAAGTGGCCATTCAGGGTGACAGGGTCAACCCACGTGCCGATGTCATTCTGTCAAAGCTACAGTGGGCTTTGACACTCAGAAGTGGGCTCAAGGGGCGGCCGTTGACCTGGAAACACATCGTCCCCACCCTCGCCCGGCTCTTTTTGTTCCCTCTTCCCCTGACACCAAATTCCCCTCCGCTTCTCCACTCCACTGGCCACCAGACTTGGGGGTGCTGCTCATCGCCTCTGTTATAAGCAGCCCCACGTCCAGCCCCACGGCCTAACTCAGGCTGCTTCTGAGCACCTGCCTGGCAAGGCTAAGTGTGTAATGACCGCAGGGCTGAGGGGGTCACGTCGAGAGAACAGTGTGCTGCTCACTCGTGCAATAATTCTACATGAGCATCTCGGTCCACTGCTTCTTTGGGGCAATTGTTTTCAAAATAATGACTTGAAGACAACTTTCATCTATGGCTCCACTGTTCCCTAGGGCCAGAGTCCTATAATTCCAGCTGCTGGGAGTAGACCAAAGAGTGCGTGGTGCACAGGCCTGGAAGTG